ATTGTGCTGCATGATCCATGGAAGATTGGATCAGTTGCACTGAGGAGAACAAATCCGCCACCGTGGAAGTAGATGATGATGGCAAGCTTAGTGTTGGGAGGAGGGTTTACGGGTCGAAAAAGGCGAATGAAAGTGTTGGTTTTTGGGTTGAGAGGGATGTCTTTGGAGAGGGAGAGTGGCGGAGCAGCGAGGTCCTGATGATTAGGGGGTATTTCTGGGGTTGGGGGTAAAGTTGGGAGCTGGTTTAGCCTGGTGAAAGAGCCATCTGGATTTGGGAGGAGATTGAGGAACTTGTAGGCATCTTCTCTTGACAGCTCCGGAGTGGTGGCTTGTTGTTCAGACATGTTTAGCTACAGGGGGAGGAGGGTGGTGGTGGAGAGAGGGAAGACGGAGGAGTGAAAAAAGCCTCAGAGTCGGAGGAATAAGGGGACTGTAAGTGACTGGGGCAGTTGAGTTGGAAGTCGAAGCCTTGAAGGGAATAAATAGTTGAGACTTGAAAGAGCAACGTAATTATTAGTAGAAGTATTCATTAAGTTGCTGTTGGCTTAGTTGGGGCACCAATTAATACACCACATGGAATTGAATACTGCGGAAAATGCATGCTCGGTCCGTCATGTCAACCGCATCTGAAAAATCCCATTTTAGGGCAAAATGATCATTTTAATTTTTATATTTTTTATTCAAAAAATAAAAAAAATAATATACTTTTGTTATATCATATTTTAATTGAATTACACATCTTTTTTCTTACTACCGGTTTTAGCTTGTTATAAATAAAAAAAAAATAAGAAGGACAAGAAAAAACAAGCTAATTACTTAGAATATTGACAAAAAAATCGAACATTTACGACTCTGACAATGATATGGTATTAAACTATTTTTTAAATTTTGTAGGAAACTTAATAGGTTGTACTCAACTAGAGGCGGAGATGGTCTAGGAAGCATGGGACCTGTATTTAACTTTAGAACTTGCAACTTCGGGCAGCTCCTTAAATATGGATTTGGCAGGTAATCAATTAACTTGTGCGGCCGTGTCAGGCGTTTGACAAACTTCTCCTAGGCACCAGGGTGCCTAATTTTTAAACTTTTGTGTGATGAAAAACTGACAAAACGAAGAAACTACTCGCTTTTCAGCAACTTCATTATGATAATATATGTCAATTATATATTGAGACAGCTTTTCGGTTGAAACTATGTGGTTACTTAGGTTGAAGTACTTAATTTGATGAAGTTCAAGTCTAGTGCCTTCTAAGATTTTTACATACAGCACAGTTCTAAAAAAACACTGGACTCTCATATTAGGCTATCTCGATCTTTTCCTACCACATTTCCTTTCTTTACATGTCCTCACAATCAGAAAATAGAACTAATGAAGTTTTGCTTCTTTATTTTGTGGGTTAAATGCTTTCTAATTAGTACAACAGAGCTTGGAGTGTTTGGATACAAAACTTATCCCAAATAAAATATTTCGCTTGCATCATAAACACATTTTTCAATCCACCATTTTATATTTCCAACCACCTTTTTATCTCACATACATCATATCACAAAAAGTGCTATAGTAATTATTCTAAATAATATTTCAAATAATACCCGATCCAAACACTAAATTTCATTTGGACAAATGAATAGATCGGAAAAGTTATGTGCCATGGCTATATATTGGCATACTCGATGAAAAAGAATATGGCACAAATTGCACTCTAGTTGCTGTACGCACCAAGCGCCGATGAAAAATTTTTCCGTTTGAATTGCATGTTCTGTCATTTTTCACGAAAAAAATACTATAATAATTTGATGTGTGCAAGGAAAAAAAGTAATAAAGAAATGTGCTTATTCAAGCGGCTACCGGGGTTTTTTTTTTTTTGATTTTTTGCAGCTACTATTGGGATGTGTCAGCCAGTGCTGTTTTTTAAAACACCATTCTCAGAGCTGTAAATGTCCGATTTTTTTTTTGACAATATTCTGAGTAATTAGCCGTAAAACCAATTGTAAGAACCAGCCTTGGAGATGGTTTTAAAACGGTTTTTTGGGTAGGTATTCCGTAAACAATTTTGTTGCTTGAATAGAACATTTCTCTTTCAGCTTATCGGCTATGTACGTGCCTGAAATCTTGCCCTTCATTACCCAAAGTTTTACGATAGTGCTTCGTTCGTATTACCAGGTAATTGAGTCCCATTTAACAATTTAATTCAGCACTTCAATTTTTTTTAGGACTTAAATTCAGTATTTAAATTTAATGAGCTCAAACCTTAATATGTTTAGCTCTATTTATTTATACAAAACTTATTCTAAACAATCGGCCTGTTTGGAACATTGGTTTTTTACCAAATTTGTATAAAATTAGTTTTTTAATAACTTTTGCTACAGGAATCCCAAAAAATTTATCAAAGTTTTTAACCTACACACTTCAAAAATACACAAAAAACTTTCCCTTCAATTTTTCTTCTTTTTCCTCCCCCACCCAACCCACCACGTCCTTTCAATTTGTTCTTGTAAGGAGAGCAACCTTCCATGCTCCCAGTTCTGAAAACAATCACACAAATAATATCAGTTTAACAACAGTCACAAAACTCGTCAGTCATCAGAATCAGATATGGCCACCACCTCCACCACCACTGCCGGCGCCGGTCACTATTCCGGCAGCCAGTTCCGGCCTCCTTCTTTTTTTTTTTTTTTTGTTTTTCTCTCTCCCTCATCCCCTCTGCTCCTTTCCCTTCCCCCTTTGACCGATCTGTTGGTGCTCATTTTCTTTTTTTTTTTTTCTTTCTTCCTCCCCCCCTCTTCGCCTCTGCCTCCCCCTCCCCCTTTGACCGATCTGGTTGCTCGACCAGATCGCAGCTAAGGGAGGGGGAGGGTGGCTGGGGAAGGAAGGGGAAGGGGAGATGGAGAAGAGGGGTGGCGGGGGAGGGAGAGGGGAAGAGAAAAAAAGCAAAAAAAAAAAAAAAGAATCACCTGTTAGTTGCTGCCATGGAAGTCTCGGAAGAGGGAACAGGGGAGGGAAAGGGGAGGGAGAAGAAGCGGGAAGGGAGGAAGGAAAAGAAAAAAGAAAGAAAAAAAATGAAAATGAAAAAAAAAATTTCATCTTACAAACACCCAAAGTTTTTCTTACAAAAATTTTTTTACAACTTCTACAGTGATCTACAGTAAAGTTTTATACAAACACCCAAAAAACTCACTTTCCAAATAGGCCCAATAACTGATAAGTCGTACATTTATTCCTTAATGCAAACTAGATTTCGATATTTAGCAATTCAACAACTAAATAGATTTTAAACTTAATTTTAGTGAATGCTTTTCTATCTTTTGGGCTTATGTGAGTTTAAAAATCTTTGATTAATGTTTGGCCCATTTTTCCTGAACTGAGTGCAAACCTTAGGCCTTGTTTGGATTGCAGTTTTTCGTTGAAAAATTACGTTATTTTCCGTGATCACATTTCCCTATTATCTTTTTTCCTCACATACATCAAATCGCTACAGTAATTTTTTTATGAAAAATCATGAAAAATGCAATTCAAACACAATCTTAATATGTTTAGCTATATTTATTTAGGCAAAACTTACTCAAAATAATAACTGATAAGTCGTTCATTTATTCCTTATTGCAAAATAGATTTTAGTATTTAGTAATTCTATAACTTAACAGATTTCAAACTTTAATTTTAGCGAACACACTCCTATCTTTTGGGCTTGTGTGAGTTTCAATGTTTGGTCCATTTGTCATGAAAGGAGCACGAGAGGATAGACCCAAAGCAGATAAGCCATTTGGCCCAGTTTCTCAAGCTTCGGACATTGGCTTGGTAAGCATTTTGGGTAGAAAGAAATAGATTCTACTTAAGTGTACTTTTTTTTTTTTTCAGAATCGATAGAAGATTCTAATAAAGTATACGAGAGATGAGTTATACGATGGAGGATGCCGACTTATTCCTCCCATATTGGAGGAGAAGAGAATAGCACAACAAAGTGGAAACCATTCCACCAACCTGCCTTTAACCACGTCTGTAAAACCATTGATTCATAGAAATATTTCAGGTATTCCAAACATGGACCAAAAATAGGTATACTCGCAAAAACTAGCAATGCATAATATTCACATAAAGATCAGCATAAACTGCTGTGGAGATTTGACTTGATCGAGACACTGACGAACCAGGAGACTGCAATCTTCAAGAAGCATCAAGCATGTATGTATGTATGTATGACTGAGTAGAGTTCTCTTGCCGCAACCATACAAGTTAATCGTAATAGTTTTGGCTTATCAGAAACTACCAGTTTAATCTTCAACAGGAAAAGAAATCCATGTATATATAGCAGCTTAATCTTCAACAGGAAAAGACCTATAAGGCAGTGCTCGTAGCATTATTAAGCTTAGAAGTTGCAGAGGGAATATGCAAAATGCTTATTATCAGTGTAAAAGGTTAACGTGCAGAGTAATCATGCGTAATTGATAGCATTAAGCTAGAGTCGGAGGCCAAAAATCTCGAGGGGACAAAAAAGAAACAGGTGAATCCAGCACACACCACCATCCATCATTTCTATAGATCAAAATCTACTCATAAAGGATTTGAGGAGAGATGCGAAGCTTTATTGCGAATCTACTTGTATCGCGCAAGTTTGTTTGGATTACACATTATTTACACCTTGTTTGGATTACACCTTATTTACACACACTGACTTACTTGCATCATCAACACATTTTTCAATCACCTTTTTATCTCATATACATCACATCAAAAAGTGCTACAGTATTTTCTTCACAAAATTATCTCAAATAATCTACTAACTGTGGACATGTAATGTTTAACCATATTTGTTTAATTAATACGTGCATCACTGTTTACTAAAGGTTTCCTACTCTACACAGCAGGCATTTGAAAACCAAGAGCCAAGAAAGTAGGTTAATGGGTGGAAAAGAAACGAAACGCCAGCCAGAAAAACCAGCAAGCCTAAGAACTTCAAAAATTTCAGATAATTCTTCTTTTTCTAATTGGACACCAAATGTAAATGGAACCTCTGTTACGAAAGAGAATGATTACAGCTAGCAAAATCTGCACCATTAAAGATGTTGACAATTGCATACACTGCATAGATGCAATGCTGACTTTGGCAGGAATGCTTTTACATATCCAGTGATGTACTACTGTGTAATGCACTTCAAGAACTGGGACCAAGAATAAAATCTCACTCCTGAAATCAATGCCAACTTTAGAAAACTCACCTTACTTACTGTGACTAGGAAGCAGACAACCAAAAGGTGAAATATTTCCTGGGACCCGATAGAGCAAATCCTAGAGATATATAAAGAGTGGAGTAATGACAGTTTTGGGAGAATAAATTCTCCGGTTCAAGTTTGTCACCACTCAAGAAAAGTTTGAGCAAATATCAGGATTGATCGTTCACCTTTATGCTTGGGATTCCTCAACAACACCACCAGCCACCAGCAACTTGTGGGAGCCAAATTAGAATGGCATTTTGTGAGTCTTATCATCACTTCTAAAAGGACAAGTCAAAAGTAAGGTTGGAAACCAATCTAAGTATGCTGAAAATAATGAAGTAAAGAGAAAGCGGATCACGAAACATGTAACTCTTCTACTTTCTGCTTTTTCACCAGAATTTCTGCCAAAAAAATAATTGTGACATAAAAATGGCCTATAGTACATCTTACTGTCAGTGAAATTAATAAAGAGCAGAGCAGAGCGGAGCAGAGCACTCCATGACGATGAAACTTCCGGTTACCGGGCCTTTTTCCTGGACTTAAATGGGAAATTGGTTGGCGGTGAGGGAGAAAATTCAAACGGCAAATGGGGAGGTTCGGATTCACCTGAAAGCATCCCCACAATCTCTTTCATGGTAGGGCGCTTATTAGGCGTTCGCTGCAGACAAAGCAGTGCAACAGTGATGCAGAGTAAAGCCTGTTCCCTGTCTAGTGACTGAATATTGGTATCAAGAAGATCCAGGAGCCTCCCATTGTGGGCAAGCTGCCGCGCCCATGAAATCAGATTAGCCCTCTCAAATTCTGACATTGGCGAGGCCGTGACTTGGAGAGGCCTCCGGCCAGAGACTAGAACCAAAATCAGAACACCGAAGCTGTAGATGTCACATTTCTCAGAAAGCTGCCCTCCACCACCATATTCAGGGGCAATGTAACAAACAGTTCCTCTCATACTTGGAGTACTGCTGATGCCTCCGCTCTTGGGGATATCTCCGCTAGCCCAATCTTGACTATTTCTTCTACCTATTCGAAACTCGCCACTGAACCCATCAAGCCACCAGTCAATACTGGTTCTACTACCCCTGCTCTTCCTCTTCTTCCTTTCAGGCACCACAGCCTCATTCCTCTCCCACCACATTTCTCCCCCATTATCTGATTTAGTATCCCTGTTCTTCTTCTTTTTAGTCAATTCTTCGCAAAATTCCTCCTTCCACCATTCCCTCGGTTTCCTATTCTTCCTCTCCTTCCTCATTTTCTCCTCGTCTAGAGATGCCCACCACTCCAATTTCTTTGGTTGCTTCTTTTGCTCCACTTTAGGGCAGCCCTCCTGCGCCGTGCTTGGAGTTGCAATCCAGTCCTTCTTAGGTCTCTCTTTCTTGATCTCGCTCCCAAGCCACTCCATCACATAGTCTTTAATCCTTCCGGACTCCGACCCCCCATTCACATTGTCCTGTTTCCACCACCAATCCCTCCCTGACTCGCTCTTCCTCCTTCCGATCGCTCTTCTACTGCCACTATCAACACTAACACTGTCGAAAAATCCGTCTGATATGCTAGTCTTTTTATCGAGGCCCTCAGAAGGTGAAGCCTCCACTGTCCCAGCTTCCGGCGACACTGGCCCCATTTCACCATCCAAAATCCTAACACAACGACTCTCTGGAGACTGATCCACATTTATTGCCACCTCCTCTGTCATCACACTCTCATTTTCTTCTATTATGGACCCATGATCCTCTCCATTCTCAATTCCTCCTCCTCCTCCTCCTTGCCCCTTCTCAGTTTTTTCGTCGTCTTCGATGAAGGTCTCCACAGCTCCATTCTCATCCTTACTTAAAACCTGTGCTAATCCAAAATCGGCTATCTTCGCGTCAAAGTTGGAATCCAACAAAATATTCGAAGGCTTAATATCTCCATGAACGATTGGCGGATCACATGAACTATGGAGATACTCAATGCCCTTCGCCACGGCTAATATAACACTAAACCTCCTCCTCCACAGCATCAATTCGGGACATTTACGATCTAACAAGGCATCCTGTAAGTTTCCGTTTTGCATGTACTCATAAACTAGTACTAATCGTCTCCTCCTCTGATGACGAACGGAGCAATGGTGTCTGCTGTGATGGTCATCAGATGAGAAGCCGAGGATAGACACCAAATGAGGGCAGCACGTGGTGTCTATCTTCGAGGCGAGAGAGAGTTCATTGTGGAACTCTCGCTCGCCCTGGAGGGAGCCTGAAGCATCCATTAGCTTCACGGCTACCTCCTGGCCGGAGGGCAAGATTCCCTTGTAAACAGACCCAAACCCACCTTGTCCTAGGCGGTTGTGGGCCGAGAAAGAGGCAGTAGCGCGGCGAAGGACGGAATAAGAGAAGCGGTGAGGCTGCAGCGGCTTCAGATCCACAGGTGCAGTACGTTGATTTGAGAGCTTTCTGTAAATAATGGCGAAAAGAAGAAGGAACACTAGAGCTATCGCAGCTGCCAGGATGGGAGGGAGAAGGGGGGACGGGTGGCCGAGGTGAAAATGGCGGTGGGTTAACGGTGGCGGTGGAGTGATGGGGACTGGGAAGTCCGGGAATGGTGCCTCGGGTGGCTCTAAGGGTGGCATTATTGTGAATATGAGGGGCAACCAAGTGGATGCTTTGAATACGTTAATAAAGATGCATTTTGCAGAGAGGGCGATGGAGCTGTTTCAGTTCAGCAGATGAGATGAGAAAAGGGTGGTGAGAGGGCAGTGTGTGTACTGCGTGTAAAGTGCTGTCGCTGTTAGCAGCAGTATAAGTGCAGTGAGTTGTAGGAAGTGAAAATGCATTACTCCTATGTTGTTATCCTTTCCTTTCGTCCTTGTTCTGTTCCTAACGCCTCTCCTACTCTGTTAGTGTTACTGAGGAGGAAACTCAAGTACTAGTAATAGAAGTCAAAAGGCCTTTGTCACGGGCCTGTGAACTTTTTTTTTTTTTTTTTGTGTGTGTGTGTGACTTCATATACTTCTCTCACGTGTGATGTGTGTGTTCTGTGTGAGAGAGAGATGGTGAGTCATGGGTTACGACAGGAGGACGCAGGAGGGAGCGGCCTCTTGTGTGGGACAAGGTAATACTTTATAAACATTTGTAACTATATATTTTATAACTATAAGGATATCTTTGATAAATTAAAATTTGAAAATTAAAATTTGAATTCATTAAATTATTAAGTATTAAATCTAATACATTTGAGTGCATTTTATATTTAGTGATAAGTAAATAATTTATTATTTAATTTTAAGAGTAAGTTTTGTCTAGAAAATTCAGTGCCGCTTAATTAATTCAAATATTTAATTTTTAATTATCAAACAGTATGAATATATTAAAATATAAATCCATTAAATTTAAGTGTTGAATTGAGTTATCAAACAGGATCTAAGTAAATTATTTGTAAAACTTAATAACAAGACGCGCTATGCATGAGGTCTCATATGAAGTTACCAACGATAATAGAATTATTATACTCATGTTATAATAAGTACTTACAAACAGTTAAGATGTAGTTACAATTTATTTAAGAAGTGTTATGAAACGACGGTTGTCACTGACAACCATCCATGTCCTGCACGGTAGATATTTCACTATTTTTTTAATGAAAATTTAATTTGAAAAATTTTCTTTACATTTCGTCAAATGAATTTTTTTGTTTTTCACTTTTAAGATAATAAATTTATGTTCCTTACAAAATCACGTAAGTAAAATTTGATTTCAACTTAGTTTTCGATTACTTTTTACCCTGAATCTATCCCGCAACCTTAAATGATCCATATTTATTTTTGTTCCTAAAAAATAGAATTTAACCTGAATCATATTTATTTTGCTCTAAGAAAAAGTGAGATTTGGCCCAATTTATATTCATTTTTTGCCATTAAAAAGATGAGATTTGACATTTTTATACATAAAAAAATAACAGCACGTGGATCACGTGATAATTTCAGATTAAAAAGTGGTCGAAAACTTAGATTAATATCAAAATTTATCAACTTGAATTTGTAAATGATTTAAATTTAATATTTTGAAAATGAACGATGAACAAATTTATTTAACTAAACGTGGAGGATCCATCCCAAATCGAAAGATCGTAGAGTCTTCACTCTGAGTTTAAGGTCAATGGGAGCACCTTCCTATCACCAATTGATTGGATGAGTGTTTCTTGTGAATCCCCGTTAGATCACCGTGTTTGTTCTAAACTGAGTGTGTGTGTTATTACCCTTCTTGGTAAACGTGGAGGATGTTTTAAAAATTTTTCACTTCTAATTTTTATGGGAAATGGCGCTGATAAAGCTGTGCCGGGGCCAGGCGGAGGGAAGATTTTTATTAGTTTAATCCGTAATGTGAGACAACGAATGACATTATTGAGTGCCACCCAGACGAATTAGATAAGGCCATGAGGAACAGAAGAAAGGATTTTGCAAGTCTCAATCAGTTGACAAAATACAAAGAGAGATCAGCCGAATTAAAAAATATATATATATGTGCATTAAGAAGATCAAATTAAAAATTTTTGACTTCTTTTTCGTTCAAAGTATAGAGAAGATTTTTTGACTAACGAACGAATATATTAATTAATGACATAATACTTGCGGAGTCCCCAAGCAAGTGAAGCGATGCAAGACTAGTGCAATCAATTTTTGTATAACCTAATCTATTCTACATTAAAGGGGAGGAGGTGGCATTTTTTAAACAAATCACTTAAACGTGACATTTTGATGAAAGACAAGGTTTGAATCCTTGCCTCCCATCCTACCAAGCTAGGCGGTGGCCAAAGGCTGGTGGTTGACTAGTGCAACCAATTGAATTGAATGAATATGCTGTTTATTTTATTATACATTGTTGCCTTTTGGTCCTTGCTTGCATCGCATGTGGTGGTCCTAAGCTTTTAGGCTTTTCGGTTTAGATAGATAACAAGAGTCTTATTATCAGCAAAAGACCAAAAAGTTAGGGACCCGTTGCGGGATTTGATGCTTGGGATGATGATCTTTTTGTTAATGGATGATTTATTTCTTTTGTTCACCAAACTAGAAACGGTCTTTTGTGGGCTCCCTCCAATGGGTTTAATTCAATACCTTACCACTAGGAACAAAGGTCACACTTTTCATTCTTTTGTTTGTCCTAAAAAATATGAAAAAACCCAAAAAAAAAAAAAAAAAAGAAGGAAGAAAGGAAATGGAAGGAGGAAGATTGTTAATGTTGGCCCAGAGAAAGAAAAAAAAATTATCTCAGAAGAACACGAGAAATGATAGAGATGGAAAAATATAAAAAAGAAAAAAAAAACACTAGAAAGAGTAAGAAAAGAAAAGCGATATAATACGAAGCAATTTTTTTTTTTAAATATATACACAGAGTAAGTAGTAGTAAGAAAATTTTCAAAAAATATCAATCTAAACAGCACATCTTTCTATAATTTTTCTGAATATATTTTTCAATCACCTTTTCATGTCACATATATTAATTTGTTAAAGTATATTTTTCTATAAAAAAAATTTCAGAAAATAGCAATTCAAACGGGCTCACCAACACATTTTTCTCAAAATTTTTTTTATATTTTTCATAAATATAATTTTCAATCACTTTTTAATTTTATATTTATTAATTAACTATTGCATATTTTTTTTTAATAAAATTTTCAAAAAAAAAAAAAAGCAATTTAAACTGCATCCCTAGAAGTAATAAATACTCATAAAACACGTCACCCGATGACTGTCCGTCGGTCGGTGGTGCTTGTGGGAAAAGGTCGCGTTGTCGCTCATTAGCATGGATTGAACTTACACACAGTTTAGCTGTCTTTGCAGGCTCCCGGTGCCCTTTACGCAATCTTCTATCTGTTCACCACACACGTCCCTTTTTCATCTTCGGCGTTGACCTGCGTCAAGATTCCCTCATTCTTCTTCCTCCAGTATCTCCCCTTCTTACGTTCTACTAATAAATTGTGGAGTATAAGAAGAGAAATGCTATAAATGGTGATGAACCAGCACGAAGTCTTTTTCATACCACGCAAAGTCCTGCCGGGGTTTGATGATCTAGGCCTTCTAAAACAAGAAGTTTGGAGAATTTTTGTAAGTGAAAGACAATCCCGAGTTTCGGATCAACACAACTATTACTAATACATTAGTAGTAAGACAAGATTCACACACACACACACACACACACTTTTTATGAAAAGATCGATGATTTGAATTTACTCATCTAGACAACCTAATAACTTTTTATGTCGTGTCTTTCTCCAAACCAAAAGGCCAAAAAAGGATCACGGAAAAACTTTGGATGCTGAATATACCTTATTTAACGGACAAGTTTTTTTCTAAGTTTATCTGCTATAAGCCTTCAAAAATTTTAACTACAGTAATCTTAAAAAACTTTTCAAAATTTCTTTTAAAAAAATATATTTCAAAAATTTTTTAAAAATCTTCTACAGTAAAATTTTAAACAAACACCCAAAAAACTCGCATAATAAAACTCTTCGATTTCCGCGAACCACAAGGAATCCACGGGGACTGGCGAGACTAGTTTATGACACTATTAAGACATCAACAAAACCATACTATTAATTATTTCAGAGAAAGTTGCGGCACATTATTACTAGAAGTCGACCACAAATTACTCTGTCACAAATTACACAAATAAAGTGGCAGAGAGGTTGCACGCTATGATTACACAAATTCACAATTCGTGCTCAAGGCAACACATAACTACTACAGCTTTGGCCCAAAGCCGTTTAAGAATTTATCCAATTGATTTTCAAACAACTCCCAAATATAAGGATAAGCACAAGTAATGAAAACCTTATCAACAGCCCTACCTTCTTCACAACATCTAATCAGAAAACTTATCATAAAGAGTCTCTATAGTGGCTTGGCACCACCATTCTCCTGAACGGAGGAGTTTACAGGGGTAGACGAACCACTCTTCCTATGATTGCTAGACTGCCCAGTAATCGTCCTGCCCATGAATTTTCCAGCTTTGGACAGCCCACTACCTACGGCTCCAAAGCCAGTACTCACCAGGCCGACGCCAGCACCTACACCGCTTCCAACTAGCCCTACTCCTGCATTTATGCCAGAACCAACTGCTGATGCTGCTCCGTCAAGAGCATCCACTGTACTCCCCAACACTCCTGATTCTTTAAGTTTCTTCCTTGCCTCTAGGATCTGCTTTTCTTCTTCAAGGGCAATCAATTGCTCTTCCTTGTTGAATTCATGATAGAACAACTGAAATTCAAACAATTTACTCGTCAACAACAGGCCTATTATCATATGTTAATGCCATCCCCAACATACAGAGTTGTGGAGTTACACTTTGTACAACTAACTCGGCAAGGAAGAAGGTGGAGAAGTATTGCTCGGCACCTGCTGATGTAAATGATGGTTTCATGGATATAAATGATTACCTGAATTGTAATTGTTCCTCTATCCTTCTTGTCTTTTATTTTGAGCATGTCATGGGATGGCAACAACCTTAATTCAAGCTCCTTTGACCTTTCAGCTTCCAGCTCAATCAGACGCACTTTTGCAACACCCAACTTTTCATCTTGCCCAACATCTTTGTCAAAAACCTGTTCAAGGAATTTAAGGACACACATAGTCAA